TGAAATAAATGATGCACTTACTTGTTGGCTCTTAAGTGTGATTGATTTAAGTGTACAGCTACTCCTTAACTCAGGATTGTAACTCTGACCTTCACAATTAGCTCTAGTACATCTCCAAGTGGTTTATTTTCACTGGGCTATCTCTAATTGCACTGCAGTTATTCTGTTAATGGTTTTGTAACTATCCAAATCCATCTGCTGTGTCACCTTTCAATTGTTTCCAGGAGCTATGATTATCAGGATGATCAAACCACTGCTGGCAGGAAAGCTGTCTGTTCACAAGAACTGGAAATATGTCATATTTCAGTAAAACTGACTGTAAGATCAGACACAGGCTCAGCCTGGGAGCTCACCTGGCCAGCAGCAGAGGTATCAGAGGAGTGAGAAGCAGAGCAGAAGTGCAGAGCAGTTCTGCTCCCAGGCCAAGCTCAGACACTGCAGCCAGGACACTGCGTAGTTGATAACACATCATGATAAAACCTTCCACAGTTTAACTGTATCCAAGCCCATTACCTTTTGTTTTGAATAAACTTTTGCCAGACTTATTTGGTACTTCTTGGTAGAAATCAAGATCTTGTCATCCTTGTGCTGGCCTGAAGGGTCTCAGTCTGCTTTAGCTCATCCTTGTTTGCTAATTCCCCTCACGCTCTTCTTCGTATCCTGTCTTGTTCAGTCATGACCTTCTGTTATGTGAGACCAAAAATACAGGTAATATTCAAAATGGGACTAACTGGCACAATGGCAAAGTGATATCTGATGGGTTTTGTTTCCTGTCTTCTTATTTGATTTGTCTTTTTGTCTATGACTGAGCATTAGGAACAGTATACCACAACTATCTTTGGTAGCTCCAAATCTAGTTTGAGTGGGAATGGTCAAAAACCACACGCCTTGAAAGTGGGAGAAATTACACAGGTACCTTACTTTACATTTACTGGTCACTTTGTTACTTGGCTCGTTGATACTGTGAGGTCCTTACACCTGTCTGAGCAAAGCATATTCCAGTCACAGGGATCTCCTTTTGACCTGTATTATCTGGACAAATTGCTGGGGGAAATAATCAAACATTTGTTGTTTGTTATTTTTAGGGATGATCAATATATCACTGTCATTAGTTGTTTCTGATGTATAGAAGTGCTGTAGCCTATGGAGAACATTTTGTCTGCTCAGCTCAAGGGCAGAGCGCTTCAGATGCATCTGTAAGTCCTATTTAGTTTTTACATAAGTTCCTATGGAGCTCTTCATGCACTTGTTTTTGCCTATTGATTTAATAAGAAAGATTCTGGCTTTTTAAACAGGGTTTTTTTCAGTGCCTGGAGCATTATAGATTTTTGTGTGTGTGATAGCAGTCTAACACAGCTATTGAGAAAGCAAAGGCATCCATAAACTTGCTTTTATGTATTCCTTTATCTTTGTTTCAAGTTAATTGACAAGGAGAGCTGAATTGCTGCTCCACAGGGGTTGGTTCTGGGTAAAACAGCCTGTTAGTGAGAGGCCCATCTGTGGGAGGCTGGCAGCTCCAGGACTGCTCCCCATGGAGTCACACAAACACCTGTGCTGCCCAAATTACATTCCCCTATTCCCAAGGGAACGTCCTCTGTGCTCCGATTGATTTCTGTCTCTGACACGGCTCTGTGTGGGATTTTCTGGCTTTGAGAGCCATCTACAGAAATCCATATTGGTTGGATCCTCCTGGGATGTGGGCAGGAAAAAACAACAGCCCTTTCTATCGTGTAGCAAAGCTTTTCAAGTGAATGGCTTTAGCTAAAAAACTTTATGCAAACTTTAGGGAACTGAACCTGAAGAATTTCTTGTCAGCAGGAATAGCAACTTTTTGAGCTAATGGGCTGTTCTGACAAAGGAGAACAGTAAATTTCTTTCCAAAATAAGTAGAAATTAAGACACTGAACTCATTAAGCAGCTGCCCTGTTAAGTGCTGTAGTGTCTGCTGAAATGTGGCTGCTACTGAGCAAGATTTGCATTTGTGGGCACCATGGCATCTCCAATTACTGCTCAGCAGTGAAGAAGCCTGCAGGGCAGCAACTATTAGCAGAGGGTTCTGCTAACTGATCCATGCCAGCACTTGTGCTGGACACCCAGTACTGTTATTTTAATTGCCCTCTGTGTTAAGTTTGAAAAAAGGAAAGTGCTCATAGAGAAAGAAAAAAAAAAATAGGGGATGAAATGAATGTGCTTGCAGGCTGTTATAAACCCTGCAAGTCAGAGCACCGTGTGCTCTGGGACCAGCCAGAGAACACAGTGTGCACTGTTTGGCACACTGAACCCACCAGACACAGTCCTTCAAGCAGCTGATGAAAACTCCTCAGTATTTCTCTAGTCCAATGCTGTGTTTAAAACAGACTGAGTTGGGACAAGTAGTCCTGTACAGCAACAGAAGTGTTGATAGAAGAGGTTGTAAGCTGTGATGCAAGTTGTTTTTAATGCTAAGTCTTATCCTCTTTTTAGAATTTCCTAGGCATGCTTTAGCATGGAAACACTGAGAATTTATTTGCATCTTCAATATGTGCACTAGCAAGTGCAAAACTTTGATTTGAATTATGTTGCAAGTGTCTAATTGTTAGAAGCCTGTCACACAATGTCAGATCAGTGATCCTCCTGGCTCTGGAAGTAACTCCAAACTTCAAAGGACAGAATAAGAAAATGTAAAGCAGGTAGGTGTAAAGGTGTGTGTCAATAGCTGTGGGAATCTTCCCAAGATCATCCAGTGTTGTAGCAGATCATGTTGTGATCAGATAGACCCCCAAGCTGATAATCTCTGGGACTTTGTCATCCTCCTACAATGCTGTTAATATCTCAAGAGGAGAGCAGCAGGATGTGGCTGCATTAGGAGCATCATTATTCTCCTTTGTTATCATCTGAAACATGTTATCTCACCTCCCACTTGGAACTACACCTGGTTTATCACCAGCCAAAACAAAAAGCTAAATAATAGCTTTATGGCAATTATTCAATTGCAGCTGATGACTTTTTTGTGTGTGTATCAGCACACTTCAGTGCTTCTGTTTTTTTATTGGAGCAGGATATGCAGACTAGGCAGTGAAAGGGAAAGCTTGGCTCTGCAGGCAGTGCTGGTGGTGTACTCAGGTACATGGATGAGCACAGGACTCCAAGAAAATGCCTTTTCCCACCCACAGCTGCTGCAGCCCAGGTGAGTGGGTGAGGTGCTGCAAGAACATGGCTTATGTAGGGAGCCCTCCTACAGCCTAGGAAATACATATTGAGCAGGAGGATTAAAGCCTTTCAAAGATGGAATAGGTTCTGCTTTCATAATATTTTTCTTTTCACCCTCCACAAGACTTGGCACAGCCTAGTGTGCTACAAAGAACCCTTTTTTCCCCTTACTCAGAACATCTTGAATTAATTCTTGGCAAAACTATCTAACTCTGTGTGTAGATAGGAACAAACTCCAGCCAAGCTGGGTCCTCCTGCAAGGCCACTCACCTGGCTCTCCCTGCTCCAGGACTTTGTGAGTGCACAGATTTCCCCTGTGCTCCTGTGGCAGATGGGTGCATGTGGTACAGCAAAGGCACCGATGTCAGGAGCCACACACGCAGCTGGGAAATGCAGATGTCTAGAACTGACACAGAGAAATGCTTTTGTAGACCATAAAGGCAACTGAAAATGCCCAGCAAGAGAGTGAAGCTCAGATCAGCATGTGTACAGTCAGATCTCAGAGCATGAACCTGCACAGTGAGCTCTGCACTGGCATCTCAGCAGCTCCTCTCAAGAGAGGATCCATCTGGAAATAGCTGGAGGCTTGGCCAGATGATCTGAACTGCCACATCTTTGAGAAGAGTGGAGATCCCCAATCTGCCCAGGGGTCACAGAACACTTTCTGCTGCACCTTAGTCCCTGACCACACCTGCTGTCATCAGGGCTTGTGTGCTAGGTGAAAATCAATCAAGATGTACGTGACAATTGAATATTCTCCAAACCGTGTCTCCCCTTCAGGCTTCTCAAAGTGCTGGATCCAGCACCCTGCACAGGCTGGAGCCCAAAGCACCTGCTTGGTGTGGGAGAGGAATCTTTCCAGGAAATGGGTATAATGTGAAAATGCATTCCAATGCACCCTATCGACCCTCTGAAGGCACCAGCACCATCAGCATGGCTGTGGTCCTCGGGGACCTCCTTCTTTACTTACTGTAACCCAATTGATTTTAGTGGGCACTCATTGCCTGGTATGTTTTAAGGTTTAGATTTTAAGGGTCATAAGTAAGAACATAAAGCACTGTCAAGTGTTTCTGGAGATTATGACTGAGCTGGAAAGGGAACCCAATATCCTTTTAGCAATTTACTCAGCTAACATTTTTTTAAATCTATTTGTCTGAAGGGGCAGAAAGAAAATCAGGAGGGCAGCAACTGTAGTAATCACTGAATTTACTTCTGGATTTTTTTCCCCTCTATCTTCCAAAACCAAGTGTTACTGCCAAAGTTAATTCTGATTTCCTCTCAGAAACTGTCCACTATTACTTCCATGGGCAGTGCTGAAATATAAGGCAAATGTGAGCAGTTAAAATACCTGAAGAAAACAAAATCAGATTGGTGTAGTAACTCAGTGACGTTTCCCCCTAGCCCTTCCTTACAAAGCACTGCTATTTTACAGCAATATAAATCCTTTTGGAGTTTTGTAGCTGACTCAGAGCTGCAAGAAGAAGAAAAGAAGAGAGAGAGGTAATTTCCAAAGTGAAATTAAATTAACCACAAAATCAAACATTTCCAAAGACATTTGATTTCATGTCGATTCAGAGGCACCTTTTGGATTTATGCCATCTAAAACCAAAATATCAATACACATTTCAGGACTCACGGTCTTTTAATGCTCTGTGTTGCAGTTCAGAAGCTGTAAGAAATATGATTGGATTTTGTTATGCCTAAATTAGTAACAAGAATCTATTTTGGAATGTATTCTTCTATTAAAGCAAGAAATAATAGAGTTTGTGTGATTATTAATCTCTGGTAATACTCCTCAATTGTGCAGATTACGTTTCAAAAACACGAGCAGTTTCTTGCAGACAAGATGACATTTACTGGCTTATTTTTCTTCTGTATGCTGATGGACATGCTAACAGGTAAGATTACTAATGAATTTATTCTGGTTTATTTTTTCAAGCCACCACCAGAAATATTTTGTTACAAATACAGTATTTAGTAATTATATAATAATTCTTCTTTAATAATTCTGTTTAGTATTGCTGACATTTTAATCCCAGCTGTTTAGGCTGTGAATTCTGACTAACAGCCAGACTAAGCTGGTTCACAGCTATGACTGATTGCAAATGGGAAAGTCCTTGCTTTGCTGTTCAAGAAACAAGAATCTTTTGGCTACACAGAGGGTCCTATGTGAGCATTAAAGAACTTGTGAGCTTCTAGTTATACATGGAAAATGTTTGGTTAACAGAAAGTCTTTCTGTGCAGGAGCTGGTACTGATGTCTTTCCTCTTTGCTTACAGATGCCCGATCCATCCAGGATGGAGATGGTAATTCCTAATGTGTTTTTATTTCCTTTGTGTCACTAATAATTAGGAGACTAATTTGTAACTCCCAGACTTGATGCCCAGCAATGACTTTGGCAGGAATGCTTATTAACCTCAGTGGCCTATGGAAAGGATTTCAATTAGTTCTGTTGGAAAAAGAACAGTGAATTTTAAAAATTCCTTTAAAATTTATTAAAAGGTGGTGACATATAAATGTATAATAATAAAACTAATATCCACTCTTAAAATGAAAATGGATTACAGTCAAGTCACTAATTCTGTTGTACAAAAGCCTAACTGGAATGCACCAGATGTATAAATGTATAGGACATCTGAGAATTTTGCCTGTCCTGAACAATAACGCTGTATGTGTATCTGCTTTTTGGCAAGAGATACCAGCTTTCATGACAAAAAGCTTAAAATTTACAGATTGCAACAAATCCAATTAGAGAAATGTTGGAATAAATCCCTTAGCACAGCTACCCTGTGGTTCATGTCACTTTGTGTGATTAGCCCATTGGATTAGTGTTTGCCTTTGATTAAAAAATCCTCAACACCCTAAAGATGTTTACACTGGCTTACTGATGATTCTATTGTTTAACCTCTTATGGGCTTTTCAGAGAATTCTGTCTGAAAACAAAGTTGCACAGAAGTATGTGCAATTACCAAGTACTGCCATTGCTGGTGTGCATCTCAGTTAACCACAGGGCAGCCAGCAGCACCTGCAGTGCACAAATATGCAGAAAGTATTATAACAGATATCAACAGAACAAATACACAATAATATGTGTACTTAATATGATTACTTATCATTCAAACCTTTTCTCCCCTATGCTCCATCCTATTTCTTTAGAAATAAATATTTTAAATATATCAGCTCTAAAATATTTTTAGTATATCATCTGTGTTTGTGTACAGCAAATATTTTTGTGGCAACTTTTGCAAGAGTCAGGAGAGCCTGCATCAGTCTAGAATTAGAACCCTGTTTAGGCTGTATCCTGTTGCTCTCATTACCAGCAATTATTGTTTTCTCTCACACTGGGCCAAGCAGCAGCCTGCAAAGTGAATCTGAGGTCAGCTGGTATAAACAGTGAGTTCTCTGCAGACTGGAGAGGAGCATTTGGCTGGTTCATTTGGTTTGTTATCTGCCATCTGTGCCTGCACGCTGCAAACTTTACTCCGTAAAATTAAAGTCTGACAACAGGATTGTTGAAGGCTCTTAATTCCTACTAAAGACCTTGGCCCCAAGCTGAGTGGAAAGACTTTCATTCATCTAAATGGGCTTCAAATCAAAATAAAATACTGTGTTTAGCTTCACTTCACAGAAAGACATTTGTGACTGTGCTCTCAGCTGCTGTTTACATGTTATATCTGCTTCTCTGTTTGCCCACATTTGGGCCCAAGGGTGGTCGGTTCCTGCATTTTCAGAACTGGTTTTGTTTTGCTGCTGAATTGTAAATCTTGTTTCAATGACTATATCACATTCGGGTACTGCTAGAGCAGGAGGCCCAAAGGCAGCAGCTGTCTCCCAAGTGGCAAAGCCTTTCCTCTCCGTCCCCATAGCTCGTTTTCTACCATCTCCTGAGAGAGGCACAGCTCTGCAGCTGCAGGCAGTATCAGGGAGGTATGGCCCCAGTCCCTGGCAGTTCTGTGGGCACTGTGCTCAGCTGCAGAGGCATGCCAGAGAAGGTGGTGCCTTATTCTTTATATTTTTATATCAGGCAAAGCAAATTATGGGAATGAGGGAAAATGGCTCTCAATTGCAATCGCTTCTTGCTTTGAAATGACCAGAAGCCTTCTAGAAATTAAACCAGCCCGATGAATTCTTTAATTGGTGTAAATGTGGACGTGTCCCTTCATTCCTGCTCCCCATCTGATCCCACTCTGTCAGTCCTGGTGCATCTGGAGCAGGGAATACCAGCTCCATTTTCTGCAGTGGGTCATAGGGAGGGGTCAATGGCTCTCGTTGCCTCTCTCCTGCCAGAAGAGCACACCAGCCCCCAAAGAGAACCCACAACCCCAAACCACAGTAGTTCCAAGCTCAACCTCTCAACAAAATCGCTTCATATTATACTAATCTGCAATATTTTATTTTGGTTGGGTTTTTTAGATCTCTATGGGGAAGCTGCAGCCTTGCCCTACTGGCCCTTCTCATCCAATGATTTCTGGTCCTATGTGGAATATTTCCGGACCGTAGGAGCCTACAACAGGATCAATGACATGGCCAGAGCCTTCTTTGCCCAGTTCCCTTTTGGGAGCCACCTTGGCTACCACGTGCATGACCACGAGCATTGAGTGCCTCGCTCAGCCTTGCCAGAGCTGCTGCCCAGGTGTTTGGGTGAGCACCTGCCTGCCACTGAACACACCTGGGCTGCCTTCACCTGCTTTGTGACACCATGGTCACGTGCAGCATTTTATGGCTTCAGGACTCTCTTTTTTACCATTTCTTGTAAAGGTGTTTGAGTGAACACCTGACTGCCAGCAAACACTGTGCCTCAGCCACTAAGTGACACTGTAGACACATGCAGCATTTCAGGCTTTGAATTAATCCTTTTTACAATTTATGCTTCTGTGTGATACAATAAACTTGTTCATTCTGCTACATGGCTTTGGGAACTCTTTTTTTTTTTTTTTTACAGTGATGCTCTCAGCTTTGTCTTGGGAGACTGCTGTCCATGCAGAGGAGTTCTGTGTGTACAGGAGTTATTCAGCCAGTGCACCCAGTCTGGGGGCTGGAGAGGCCACAGGTATCAAGTTGCACCCACCTCGTTGGTGTTATAAATGAAAATTTGTCCATCCAAATAAAAATGAAAAATGAAAATTTTATTTAGAGTCAAATTCTCTCTGAGCCAGCCACAAGGAAAAGGATAGCACCGAACTGGGTGACAGGAAGGAGCCTCTGGCAGAGGTTCCCCTGGACACACACACCCCCCTCCTGGATCCTGCAGTTCTTACAGGAAATGTTCTGCCCGAGACCAGGATTTCAGCCATCTGCCTTTTCTTTCTATTCAGAGTTCCACATACTCATAAAGTTCTTTTCTCTGAGCCAGGGTTGAACAATCCAGGTGCAGGTGTGGACAATTTTTCCTGATGAGGTTATGGGAACCGTGGCATTCAGATGTATCAGCCCGGAGGACTCCAGCGATCCCAATCCTGGGTCGCTACCAGCATGATCAGCTCCCAGGTGTTCCAGTGTCACCTTTTGGGACAGCCCATCTCCAGACCAGCCACACGTATTAGATTGTAAATGAGGCATTGGCCAAGAAAACCCCGCTCTGGGGTAACCGAATATGTGGGGGGGCAGCTCTCAGTGCTGGTGTGTGCATTTTGTAATAACTAAATATTGTACATGCCAAATCATATTTCCCTTGATTCAATACAACAATATTCCATTGGCACGAATTATAATCATACATAACTTTGTCAAGCTGACGTCTCACTGAAGCCTGAAGGGGCGCAGGGCCTGCTGTCACCATGAGGATGGGGCGGGTGAGCAGGAGGCGGCCTCCATTGCTGCCACCATGGGGAGAGGCTGAGCAAGAGGTGGCCTCCATCGCTGCCACCATGAGGACGGGGCAGTGTGGAGCAGGAGGCGGCCTCCATTGCGGTCACCATGAGGACGGGGCGGGTGAGCAGGAGGCAGCCTCCATTGCTGCCACCATGGGGAGAGGCTGAGCAAGCTGATGGCCTCCCTCGCTGCCACCATGGTGACGGGGCGGATGAGCAGGAGGCCGCCTCCATTGCGGTCAACATGGTGACAGGGCAGTGTGAGGAGGAGGCAGCCTCCATCGCTGTCACCATGAGGACGGGGCAGTGTGAGCAGGAGGCCACCTCCATTGCGGTCAACATGGTGACGGGGCAGTGTGAGGAGGAGGCAGCCTCCATCGCTGTCACCATGAGGACGGGGCAGTGTGAGCAAGAGGCCGCCTCCCTTGCTGTCACCATGCTGACAGGGGCAGTGTGAGCAGGAGGCCACCTCCATCGCTGCCACCATGGTGACGGGGTGGGTGAGCAGGGAGAGGTCTCCATTGTGGTCACCATGAGGCGAGGCTGAGCAAGAGGCGGCCTCCCTCGCTGTCACCATGAGGACGGGGCAGTGTGAGCAGGAGGCCGCGTCCATTGCGGTCACCATAGTGACGGGGCGGGTGAGCAGGAGGCCGCCTCCATCGCTGTCACCATGAGGAGAGACTGAGCAGGAGGCGGCCCCCATCGCTGTCACCATGCTGACGGGGCGGGTGAGCAGGAGGC